TGCTCTAGATTTAAAGTGTTCAACGATCATAAGAGTTTGAAGTATTTGTTCGATCAGAAGGAGCTGAATATGAGGCAGAAGAGATGACTTGAATTTCTGAAGGATTATGATTTTGGTTTGAGTTACCATCCTGATTTTGTTTTCATCATAACTTGAGTTTGGTAACTCCGTTTGAGACGCGGTTCGAAGTGTTGGGTAGCTGACACAAAATATTACCTTATTATGGTTAATTATATGTTTAATATATGCATTAAAATATGAAGAGTATGTTTTCTTCTGATAAATCTTACGAGACGATTATCAAATAATCATGTAATTGTGAATTGATGGTTGTCATGTGTTAAGTTTGTGATGTTGGAATATTTTGAGTGAAGGTTGTATGTGTTGATGAAAAGCATGGCAATTTTTTATTATAAAATATCATGGTGAGTTTAATAATTTGTGAGTTATACTTATGTGTACGAATATGAAATATTGCTATAATTGTGTGTTGATGAATATAGTTATATGTTTCAGAATGTTGGTATAATTATATGATGAGTTATAATTATATGTTATTGATGTGAGATGTGATGTGGCTTGTATAATTATGTGTTGTGAATATAATTATATGTATTGTGTTAAGGTGAGTAGTTCACAAGTGAGAATTATTGTGAATGTTGTATTGCTTGCTGTTTATGGTTTGAAGTGGAACGATAAATGTTGTTGTTTTTGTTGTTGCATTACTCTGTATGTAATACATTATTTTGTGTCGGTGTGTTAAAAGAGGTGATTCGGGGTTCAGAAGTGGTGACCCGGTTCAAATGAGGAACCGTTATTTAGTGGACGAGATCAATAACAAAACTCTTATGTTCAAATTTGTACCACATGCATAAAGTCGATTTGTGAGACACATTGCATACATAAAGGCTACATGAATTGGATTGTTGTGTTGATGTATAATCGAACGTGCGTTGTTGATTGTGTGATTTAAGCTACCTTGCATTCTCTTATACCATTAATATATTTGAGCGTATTCTCACCCCTTTCTTTTTTATTTTGTGATGCTTTGTACATTGTGGTACACATACTCATGAGGAGTAAGTGTTGTTGTGAGTTGGAAGATGACCTTAGAACTTTTCTTCATTTTTTTTGTCGTTATTTAGTTCGTTTAATGCTCTAATTTGTAACATCGTGAACGAGATTTTTTTTTTTTGAGTTAATCGTTGGGTCATGTTAATTTTATTGAGTATTTCAGTTTGATGAGATAATTGAAGTCTATACTATTTATTTTGAATTTCACTATAAATTTTAAAAGTAATTATAAAGTATGTATGTTATGTTTGAGCAGCATCCTAAATTGTGGATTTTATTCTTTAATTTATGAGTCAAGGTTTTAAAGTGTTATATAAGTCAAGATTGTTATATAAGTCAAGATTGTTCTTATTACTTATCCTTATTTTTTCCTGATTTTTCTTATATGACCTATATTACTATAGGTATTGGACCCTTTTCCTTTGAAGCCAATACTACCATCAATCAATTGGATGAGCGTATCCTTGTAAGTAGGGTTGGCATCTTGAAATACCATTTTATTTCCAGCTCTCCACATGATGTATAAGATGTTTATTCATAACACTGTCTTTATATTTTTCCTTTATAATATCCCATAGCCACATGGCCATGGAAATTAACGCTTAGCACTGAAAATCATGTCTGATTTGTCATAGTTTATAAGTTGTCCAGATGTTGATTAGTACCTTTCAAAATACAATGAAGTTCTTTGGCCTCTTCTTTTTTGCTTACAAAATATGAGACTGTCTTCAGCGAAAAAATAGACGGGAGATATCATGGAGTTTTATTTAGTGGGTGTAAGTTTTATTTAGACTTCATTCTAAAAAGAGACAAGTGTTGTTAATACATCAAAATAATAAGGCAGTTTATTGATAAATATTTAATTTGTGAATCATTTAATCAAAAACACATTGGCTTTGATGGTTCAACTCGGGCAATCAAGGGTTGGCTTTGATGCTTCAACTACATGTCCGACAATCAAGGTTGGAATCTGAAAAAAAAATTCACATCAGCACTATAATTTATTATGAGTTTCTTTTGAAAATATAATCATTTTTTTTCTTTTGAACAATAACATAAGTTAATCTCAAATAAAAAGAAAAATATATGTTGATAAATTGATAGTTTAAAAATGAATCGAACCAACTCAAAAATAGTTTAGAATTCGGTTCGATAATTAATTCGTTGAATTTAGTTTATGAATCTAATGAACTGAATATGAGCGAAAAACTAAGCTCGTTAACTAAATGAGTTGAATTTTAACTATACATAGTTCGACTTGTTAGGTTTATCAGCCAACTCGAATATATATGAGAATAATTATATTATTTTTAAGAATAGATTTAAGAATTTAATAAAAATTTAACCATATATTTTATTTTAATCTAACGATTTTAATTGATAACTTATATTCAATGAACAAAATATTTTCAAAAATAATTATACAAATAAAATTAGCATTGTATAAATTAATTAATTTTTGAATTAATAGATTTTTGAAATAAAGTTAAATTTAAAACTAATAATTTTTATTTTATTTCAATACTTTTTTAAAAAATAATATTAATTTAAAATGTCAAATATATAAAAACAGACTTTAAAAAATGGCTATGAAATTTGTGAAGTAAACGAATTGAAGCTAACGAAATGAATCTAACGAGTCAACTCGAGTTACTCGTGAACTTATAACAAATCAGGTTTAAACTTAAAAAAAGTTTGTGTTGAACTCGAACCGAAATTTGAGTTGAACCAATTCTTAATAAATCGAGTAAAGTTGAGTCGAGTTCGACTCGACTCATTTACCACCCTAGTTGAGAGTGATAATTAAATTTATTCTTTTACAAATCTAAATTTTTTTAATCAATTATATATATATATATATATATATATATATATATATATATATATATATATATATATATATATATATATATATATATATATATATATATATATATATATATATATATATATATATATATATTCACACACACACCTAGATGTGGCAAAACGGGTCGTGGCGCGCCAGGCCGGCCCGCGCATCCGCCACAAAATGGTTGGGTTGAGAATTTAGACCCGTCACGCACCAAAGTCTGCCCCGCTAAAGACCGCCACCCGTAAAAGTTTGCCCCATCAAAACCTACCGTCCGCAAAAGTCCAGCGCACCTATTCGTTTAGCTTGTCCCACCTTAAATCCACATTTTTTTTAGTTAATTCTAGTCATTTCAATTCTTGATGGTTTTATTTTATACATTTATTTAAGAATATATATAATATTTTTTGAATTAAAATTTGTTAAAAAATATTTTATAAAAATTATTCTAAAAAATAAGTATAAAATCTAATTGAAATGTAAAAATAAGTATATTAATTTATTAATAATTGAAAGATTATGAAAAATGTTGGCTATATTTTATTTATAATTTTTTTTTGGTTATGATCAGTTTTTTTGACAGCTACGTAATTTTTAACTTAATTCTCTTGTGAAGAAGAGGTTCATTGGAAATTAGCTATTGAAATTGAATTGCGACTTTAACAAAAATAAATACTTGTACTCTTACTATTAGCTCATTCTAAAACCTTCAACCCTGTCAAAAATATGACTATCATTATCATTCACATGATTATCTACCATTAGATGTCAACACAAGATTTCTACATTATGGCATATGATCTTAACTGTTAGAAGACCAATATTCAAGCCCAAAAGACTTAGAGATTGTTATCAGTATTAATAGGAGAAAACAATCCGTGTGACTTAGAGATTGTTATCAGTTTTAATAGGGGTGTATTAGAAATTTGCTTCAACTATCTTTATCATTATTAAATGGGTAATGTTAACTTGTGCCCTTGGGACACATATTAAAAACTAAATTAAGAAATATCATCTTGAAAATTGTGTACAAATTTAAATTAAAGTATAAAATTAATTTTTAAATTGTTTTTTCCAATACAAATTTACTAAAAGTAGTTTCCTTAACATGTACCCCAAAGGCACAAGTTAACATTACCCTTATTAAATTGTAGCTTGTTTTTTCAGACGTGAAAAAGACTCCTCAAGTTAGAAAACCGAATAGATGATTATTAGAGTTTGTTTATCTCTTCCCCTATGCAATACTTTAGATCTAAGACCAACTCCAATGGGAGTTCTTAAATATGCAACGGTTCTTCAATAGTTCTTATATTAAAATATTAATTTTATAATATAAAAACTATAATTTGATATAAAATTTTATTTATTATTTTACTTATTATTTTAATTAAAATTTAAATATTTAAATTATAATTTTAAATAAAATAAATTTAATATAAATAATATTTTTTAAGTAAAGTGGTGGGACCCAATATGGATTCCTTAGAGTTGCACCATAGGAGTGAAAATTGAATGAGTTGCTTTAAAAGAGTGGGTCCCACAAAAAACTTAAAAATGCTAAAAGAAAGATAAAACAAAACTATAATTGATTGAATAATAATAAAGAAACAAACTTCTAATTCACCCCTATCCATGTTAATACTCATAACAGTCTCTAAAGAAGCAAATTTCTAATTCACCCCTATCCATGTTAATACTCGCAACAGTCTCTAAAGAAGCAAATTTCTAATTCACCCCTCTAAGCCATACTCATAACAGTCTCTAAGCCTCTAAGCCACATGGGTTATTTTCTATTTCTTTTGGGCTTGAATATTGTGCATAACTATACATTTGATTACTAGGATGCTGTAGTAAGATAAGTACATGTAAAAATAGTACAAGGACCAAGGATAAGTGAAAAAGAGTAAATATATTATCATTTGAATCAACTCAAAATCAAAAAGATTACTACTAAGTATACAAAATTGTGGATAGAATTCAATTAGTTTCAAGAAGCAAAATTCATATAACAATAATTTTTTGTAGAAATAAATATAAAAAAGAGAAGATGGATTCAATAACTCATTCAATAACTTTAAGACCTAGGCTTTTCCTTCTTCTCCTTGAAGAGAGCAAGAAGAGAGACACCCGAAACTTTCACAACCTTGAATCTGACTCCAGGGATATCACCGACAGCATGACCTTTACGTCCAAACCCAGCTATCAAAACTTCATCCTACATACATCATAAACAAACAATATCATCAAAAGATTTCAACACAATAAAAGCAACAACAAGTTCAGCACAATAAAAACAGAAAATAATGATCATTTACATTTTCTTCAATGTAATTTAAGCAACCATCATTTGGCACGAATGCGGCTATCTTTTTCCCATTTTTGATGAGTTGAACTCTGGCACACTTTCTAATGGCAGAGTTAGGTTGCTTTGCCTCAATACCTCTGTACATAAAGTGTCATACAAATTCTCAGAAAACATTCAATTAAAAAATATATGAATGTAGCAGAGGAAAATGTAGCTGAATGGAGCGGAATGAAGATTCCATTCCATCTTTTGGATAAGGATGGAAAAGGCAACTCCTTCGTTCCTCCCAAATCGGAGGGGAAAGTGATGGAACCCGATCATCCAAACAATGGAATACAACTTCATTCATTCAATCCCATATAGCTCAATCTGAATGAAAAAAAGTTAAAATTTTACATCTTTTCAAGTACAATTCCCTTGGCATGGGATGAACCAGCGAAAGGCTTCTTCCATTCATTCCCAAGATGAGATTTTTTAAATTGCTTGTCTGCCCATCTTTGCTTAATACGGAGTCTCCGCAGCTTGCGGGCAGCTCCCATTCCTCTTGTCTTCCTGCACGAAGACAAAAAACAATAAATCTCTATCTCTAATATTCTTGTGCAATGGCTTTCCTTAAAGGAGCAGCAGTATCATATTCATCTCAAACGAAAAGAAAAGAAAAAAAACTGTGGTACATTAATATTAAAGTAGATAACAATCAAATTTCAATCAAAACTACGGAACAAAATGTAATAATGAACTTATAACATGATTTTATATGAAGCAAAACACGTGAATACTGGAAAAATATAACTTTTCTTATGATGCAACAATAAATTCAAAAAAAAACGTAACAAATTAATTACCCTAATCAACAACTTCATGTTTTTGTGTTCCAAAAAGTACTAACAAAAACCACAGAAATTCCAGTTTAGAATCAAACATGACAATTTGAAGAACGTAACAACACAAGGTGAAATAAGTATGCATAAATATAATGAATGTAAGAAATGAAAAGTTGAATTACCCCATGGTGATCGAGAGTTAAGAACGCTGAGTTGAGATTCGGAGGAGGTTGGGGAGGAGAAGGGTTGCCGCAGTGTAAAATCTAAACCCTAATATTGACGGAGATTTTTGATTGAACTCTGAGAATTAAGTAAACGGTTGGTTTGGGCTTGGGCTTATTTTGAATTTACAACAAAGACATTTTTTTATATCTCCAATTTTCCATAAATATAAAAAATATCTCAGTCAATTATATTTAAAATTTGGTAATTATAGTTAAAAATGCAGTATGAATGAAAAAAAATAGCTTATTCATCTTTTTTCCTTTAATTTAATTTAAATGGGCTTGGAAATTCTGTTCAAATTCTTCGGATATGGTAGCGTCGATTCTTATTTTTCGTTATGGCGATATTAAGAGGATTCTTCTTGAACCATCGAGATTCTCTACCTATTTGCCGAAAGCTTCTATTTGGTGGAGGGATTTGAAGGAGATTGTTGGTAAATTTGGAGAAGAGGAGAGTTGGTTTGGCAAAGGGGTGTCTTGCAAACTTGGGAACGGTAAACTTATAGATTTTTGGTATTATCTCTGGCTCGGCTCTCAACCTCTAAAACTCATGTTTCCATCACTTTATGAATCTGCCTCAAACAAATCTGCTAGTGTATTTTCTTCTGGATTTTGGACTGACGGTCTCTGGCATTGGAACGATAGTTTTGGCATTGATTCTCTGCCTGCTCTAGCTGTTCAAGAGCTTCAAGAATTGCGGCTGATCTTATTTGGAACGCAGCCTCACCAACAAGGCCAGGATTCTTTCATTTGGTGGCGGCATCCGCAAGGTTTTTCGGTTAAAAATGCTTATTTAAGGTTGTTTTCCTTGAAAGGAGAAAGGTCAGCAATGAATCCCTCAACTTCTAGTATGTTGATAAAAATTTGGAACGCATCTGTACCTTCTAGCATAAAATTTTTTGGATGGAGAGTTGTTCTAGACCGCCTTCCAACGCGATATCAGCGGTGGAAAAGATGTATGGTTAACTCTACTGGATTACTTTGCCCTCTTTGTCGAGAAGAAGAAGAAACTGTGTGCCACTTATTCATTCTCTGTCGGATCTCCGTTCATGTTTGGTCTCTGGTTTTTGTTTGGTTAGGAACTCAACCCCCTGATATGAACTCAATTTTGGACAACATGGAAATTTTAAACTCTGCTCTAACAGGATCTATGGAGAAAACTTTTCGGTGTAGAATTTGGTTTGCGGTTCCTGGGTCTATTTGGAGGATTCGAAACAACATTATTTTTAGAGGTGAATTGTTAAATTTCAAATCTTTATTGTATCATATTCAATCTCTCCTTCAGGATTGGAGAGAACTTGGATAGTTATCTGTCTTCTGTTTGGGTTTCTGTTTTCTTTCCCTCTTTGTTCTCCTTTGTATTGGGTTGGACACCCCTAGTGTCCTCTTCAATATAATTTTTGTTTATAAAAAAAAATAACTTTTCATTTTCACTCCTTTATTAAAAAACATTACATTGTAGTTTCTTAAAACTGTTATGTTAGCTCTTTTGGTATTTTCTGTTAAATTTTTAAGAAAAAACGTTAATTAGTGTCTATGTGACCGTTCTAATGAATTTTTAATATTTTTTATTTTTGCATTTTCTTTTTTAATAACAAATCTTACAATTTCAAATTTAAAAATATATTTCTCCTTAATTTGTAAAACCCGAACATCAATTATCTTCTTTTTCTTTCTCCTCATCCATAAACTCTTCACATCCTTCTCCTCCTTTATCTTTATTCGTTTCTTTTTAAACATCTTCATCTTTCTATGTTTTTTAACGAATTTACTGTGTGTTTGATTTTAGATCTGGTTTCATATCTAACATAATGATTAATATCATGATTTTGTTTTGAATTTAGTCTAAACTTTTGTTTGAAAAAACTTAAGAGAAGTAATGACACTGCACAACACCTTCGATCTATTGTTCAGATCCGGTTACTATTGTAGATCCTTTTTTATAGGAAAAACATGTCTGGTACTTTCCTAATTTCTTTTCTACAAAAATTGAAGGATATTTGTTCCCCAAATTACTAGTTGCAAGATTTTATTTTATTTTGGATCTTTGACGCAGCAACAGCAGGTAACGCATGACACTTTGATAGAGGATTATTGTTAGCATCTTTATTTTTTAAATTTACATTTTCAATTTATCTTTTTTATTTTGTCTCTTTTAATGGTTTAGTGGATGTTATGATTCATATACGATTTTTTGTTCTGTGTACATGTAGTTATCATACCACACACAACTTTGAGAATGACAATGGAGTGGTTTTTTCAATTGATGAGTAATATGAGCTTCATACACAACTTTGAGAATGACAATGGAGTGGTTTTTTCAATTGATGAGTAATATGAGCTTCATATACTATTCAATTTCTTAAGTTCTTTTAGCCATTGATATAATCATGGTTGTTATTAGTACTTTCTCAATTAAACATTGTTATGTATTGCTGGTGTTCTTAGTTATACTTGTATGAATATTGAAATTTGAGAGGAGAAAATTATATTATTAATAAAATGAGAAACTTTGTCATTTTTTTAAATTATTATTAAGTATTAAATAAAATTTTAATTTTTAAAATAAATTTGTTAACTCAGTATTCTAGTTGTCATGTCATGTTGACTAAAGTTAACAATTTTTTTAAAAAATTAACGGAAGAGACTAATAATGCTAATGAAACTGTTTTAAGGGACGAAAGTGTAACCTTTTTTAATTAAAGGACCAAAGTTAAACCTTAAGTTAATTTAAATGACTTGGGGACTAATTATGCCAAAAAAAAAAATGGTAGACCAGCATAAAAGTCCGTCATCATTGTTACTACCTTCGTCTCATAATAAATGTTTTATTTGAAGTATGTGCGGTTCTTAAGAAAATGATTATATAGGTTGATTTTAACGATAAAATTGATATCTTTTACAAAAATACTCTTATTTATTATAGTTAGTTTAGTAGTTGAAAAGCGTGAAAGTTAATAAATAAATGTATAGTAGTGAAAAAAAATAATAAATGTTGTATTGGTATTCTAAAGAGACATTTATTTTGAGACAAAAAAAAATACAAATGAGACACTTTTTATGAGACGGAGGTAGTATCAATTTTTATAAAAATACAAGTGCGTGAAAAAATATACAGTGTTTTTATCATGGATCATTGGATTTTTTTTCTAAAATGGTGAAAAATATGATAGTGGTAAATCACCAGTTTTTTGAAAAGACCATGCATGTATCGGATGTTTAGCATGACTATGAAATATCTGGTAGTTTGAATTTTTATAATTGAGATTTTGTCGATAGTTTTGTATGACCAATGGTTGCGCCGACACTTTTGTATGGTCTATAATGAATCCAAACTTGTATAAATATGGATCATATGTTGCTAAAAAAACCTTAGAATGCCTTAACATTTGTATTTGACAGGTATGTATTTCAACGACTTGAAATCTTCTGTTGATTTTTGGCTCCCTAAGAACACCATTACTCTCGCTGTTTGAGATCCAAATTGGATAATCTGTTGCCCCAAACCAACAATAGAAAGGTGGGTAAGATCGACTTCTATACACCATCGATTGATACTAGAGGAAAGGTGAAATACAACAATATTGAGCCGAAGACTTATGAAGACTTGAAGGTTATGTGGAGAAGATATCACAGTAGGCTAACAAAGGAACTCGTCGAGTTTGATGCGACAATTGCTAGATTTATTGATGAGATAATCAAGATGTTGAAACGTCCAAAATCGTATAGTAGTGGTTAAATTTTGTTATTTATTATTGTTTTATTTAGTTATGTAATTGTCTGTGTTAAGTCACGTTAATCCCAAAATAATAAAATGTTAAATGGTTATCTAATAAAATGTTAAGTTAAAATGTCAATAATATACCAATAATAAATAATGAAATCTACACATGTCTCACACAGGACATGTGTTCTATTTGTGATGGAAAAGTATAAATCTCACCATATGAGTTTACCAAACCCATGAGGTTATCTCTAAGTATTGTTATCATCTACAGATGATGCAGGTCATCCACACCAAGTGGAGGTGGTGGCACGTCATTGAAAGGTCCACCAGCATCAAAGGTACAACATCATCTGCATGTTGAACATATAGGATGATGCGAGTGTGTGATACGCTAAGGTATCAATCTAAGTAATCATTTGCACATTGTCCAGGGAATTAAACATTTAGTGCATGATCTGTAATAACATGGGTACAGCTGCCAATGATAGCTTCTAAGTTTGCTCGCGAAGATATCGCATCTTCTACCTACGTATCCTAACTAGGATAGAATCAAAGTAATCGTAGTTCACCTCACTAAGGATAGATGAACACTTAATTTGATCAAGGTTTAAAAAGGGGGAACAAACATAACAATGTTTCTATAAAGTTTAACAAAAATCTCTATTCTAAATTGTACACTCAAGGGGAATGACTTTGACAAAAGCCAAGGGAGAGTAAGCAATCATCACCATGATTCTTACATAGAGTTGACAAACTCTATCCTAGGATTCTAGTTGAAGAACACTCCTAGTAAAGGTGGGTCTTTTAGACTTAAGCAAAGTTTAATGGCTAGTAGGTTCTAACTTAACTAAGTTAGGGTTCAAATGACTTAACAAAGTCATAGGGAGGGTAATGAGCTATCTATGGCCCAAGGATCAATAGAGAGACTTTCCTTTGGACACAAGGACACAGACAACTTGATGTGAACTAGAAAGTTCCATCACTGGGGAATAACTTGACAAAGTTGAAGAAATAAAGCAAGAACATGTAACAATAATCAAGATCAACATTTAACATCTTAACAAAGATCAAAAAGCAAAGAGGTAACAACCATTAATGCAAATAAAGAACATGTGTAACAACAACATGTTCATCTATAACATTCAAACAAGATTAATGCAAACAAGTGACATCTTAAAGCAAGCATGTCATAAGGATCAAATGAGATCAAATATAACAACATAAGACCAACTAAAC